AAGATCCCTTGGCAGTTGAAATTCGATATAAGAGTAGGCTGTAATGCTGCTGGCCTGGCAAAATTTCCCTCATAGCACACGGTATGCCTGTCTTCATAGCCCAGTTGGATCAGAATGTAGGACTTTAAACCCCATTCCATTTCCTCTCATTTCTGAATTGAATCTTTAAGTACATGTATTGGTTGTTGTTTGAGGATCGTGACAGGGCATATTTTGCTTCAGTGATTTATTAATTCTTGCCCTTAATAATGATAACATATCATGGTGTAAAGTACATAGTTTATCTGGGGGGGGGGGGGTGGATGGCCAATGGTTAGCACGTGCATGCTGTATCATAAGGCCTGTCATTGAGTCAACTGGTGTATTTTCGAATCCCCGGTTGTACGTGACAAGGAGTAGGGTCACCTGTCCAACCTCGTGGGTTTTCTCCGGGTCCTCCAGTTTCCTCCCACTGCTAAAGACCCATATGCGCAAGCGAATTATTGAAATAAAATTATTAAACCATATGTTAGTCCTGTAATGACTTAGTTTTGTGTCGTGGACGTTAAACCCCCTCTCTCTCTCTCTCTCTCTCTCTCTCTCTCTCTCTCTCTCTATCTCTCTCTCATAGTTTATCATCGGGTAAAGTACATGTATATAGTTTATCTATATTTAGGATCACTGTATTATATAAAAAAGGCACAGATTTATATAACCAACTAACTCAACCATGAATATATTTTTTGATTAATCTATTAGATTGACAAGTGACATAGAAACATGAAAAGCCTACAGGCATACATGTGTAGAGAGAGGTCCATGTTAATATCTAACACTGATCTGAGAGAGAGAGAGAGAGAGAGAGAGAGAGAGAAAGAGGGAGGGAGAGAGAGAGAGAGAGAGAGAGAGAGAGAGAGAGAGAGCTTATGTTCTAGCTGGAGAAAGAGCCCACAAGTTCACAAAGTATTCTCAGACTTAAGTTAAGAATTTACTCAACTTTCATTCAGCGTTTATAAGAAATATCTTTGATCCAGAAACACCAAAATTTTCACATAGTTTCTTATTGATGTATTTGATACATTAAAACAACAAAAGTTTTATAAAGGGCTATATTTTAGTTAAAATAAGGCAAATAATTTTGAGTAAATTCTTAACTTAAGTCTGTGAACTTGGAGCCTGGAGTGGCATTTAGCATTGAGCATAATAAAAAAATACAACAAGTACGAAGTTTATATGGAAAACATTCAGTGACTTGTACACATAAATGTACACCATTGATTCTCAACCAGTGTGTCGCGAGATCTTCCTAAGTGTGCTGCGAAATTTTGAATGGCACACTAAGAAATTGCGAAAAATCAGGTGATCCCAATTGAGTTTCACTGGTGTCTACTGTAAGTTCATAGCTGTGTTTTTCTTTTTTTACTTTGTGTCATTCTATGTGTCTATGACTAGTCGTATGTCTTCCGACTTACCATCACATGGTTTTTTTGTGCAAACCTCAAATATTTTTCATATATATTTAGCCAGGTGTGCCGCTATTTTTTCATGTGTTCCAAAGTGTGCCGTTGGCAAAAAAGGTTGAGAACCACTGATGTACACCATGATGTTCTGACACGATTCACATACTGTTTTCAAGAATTCTATATTATGTATTCTAACTTTAATAAGTTGCCTTTAACCTTGGGGGCAGTGGTACACGTGCGATATGGGCAATCCACAATGGTGCCCTTAACCTTGGGGGCTGTGGAACACGTGCGATATGGGCAATCCACAATGGTGCCCTTAACCTTGGGGGCAGTGGTACACATGCGATATGGGCAATCCACAAGATTAGCTAATCTTAGTAGACTAGAATTTCTCTTATTCAACGATTAAAATTAAGTTTCTAAATATGATTGTAAATCAAACATTTAAATCACTGATTTCATATAATCATTGATTAAAGAGTTTTTGTTTATCATTGACGAAAGGGACCAGTTACAGGAAGTAGATTACCAAAACGTGACATTGTGCTTAAGAAATGTGTTTCCCAACCTGGGGTTCAAAGGGATCAGTAGGGTGTAAGCAGGGAGAAAAAGAGGGTCCATGTAAAAAGACATCCAAGTAAATAAGAGTAACGGTATGAAATATTTGGTATTGTAGAAATTTTTAGCATTGGGACCATGAATTTCAGTTGTTATTTTCCGTCACATTTCCCAGAAGTGACCCAGTTGAGTTCACAAAGTAAATTAGAGTATGAAATTTTTGGTATTGTAGAAATTTTTAGTATTGGGACAGTTAATTTCAGTAATTGTTATCCGTCACATTTCCCACAAGTGACCTAGTTGAGTTCACAATGGGGAGGTGCGGAGGTGTAATTGTCTTCACTACAATAGAAAATTCTCTCAGATTAACATCAGAATTTATCATTATTTGTCGATTTTGTATAAACTTACAATATTTCTATTTAAAGGGAACATCCCAGATTTCAACAGAGTCTCAGAAACAAAAGTGTACATAGGAAATTTAAGCTTATCTGGATATGTAACCCTTTTAAGATATCGATTCAATTTTTTTGTTGGGTGACCTGATAATCCATTGCCGTTCCTTTCAAGGTCTATACAGTGCATGGCCCACGTGCTGTACTTGATAACAAAAGGTACATTTCACCTGCACATTATTTTTATAAAATAAAAGTCTGGTTTTATCCAGATACCGTATAATACTGCTTGGAACACCAGCCTCCTTTTCCAGATGAAGACTGACAGGTTTATGTATCACGTATATTGAGTTAGTTGCTCAGTCAAAAGGTAGAGGCTTTTAAGGGCTTTTAACACAAAATTAAGCAGTTTTATTCTCCAAAATATAATCGAGATTGGCCCTTTAAATATCATTTTTAATAAACTTGTTCACATCCCCCCGCTTAGCATGTCATTATATAAACATAAAATGTGTCTATTTCATGTTTCGAAAGAATTTAATTGGCCGTTTAGATAATGCTTTTGCAATTTTTATACATACAACTGGATGCTAACTACATAACATTTCATGAGATATATTAAATATAATATTGTTTATTATACATGTATAAAAACATGAACATTATATTTGTAATTATCAAGCTCTAAAGACCTACAATACAATCATTGATTTCGCCCCACTTAGAACTTGACTGTTTTTCATTTCTTACATCTCTTTGTTGGAAATATTGTGTGAAACTGAAACAAAGACTGTAACAAACTCTTTTAATGCAACGAATGTCATTTCTAGTCGACTTTGCCTTGTGTTTTTTCTCTACATGATCGCTTGAAAGTGTCACCAAATATGCTTGATACGCTCGACAAGACTTTGATTTGGCTGAACCCCAAGCTTTAGCTTGAAATGTTAATCATTGAACTCAGTCAAGACATTCACCTAATGAACATCTACATCAAGTTTAAACATTCTACCTCAATTAAAAGCAAAGTTGTTATGTTCCAAAGTCTTGACCAATCAAATTGCTATCGCAATCGAACTAAGTCAAGGTTATTTATAACCAAAGTTATCACTCCCCAAAGTATCAACCAATCAGATTGCTTATCTTTGCTCACCGTAAGCAGACAATGTTTATCACCTAACTCCATCAAGTTAGTGCTGCTGTCCTTGATAAAATAAACTGATGTCGTTTCATGCTTATTTGGTGCATAACTGCATAACTGAAACTGAACGCATCTTAATGGCATATCCATGCACTTAATCCTTCCTTCAACTACCCCCCCTGAGATGACTAATATTTGAGGTGACTTAGTCAAAGATTCAGTACAAGTCAACGTTCCAGAATAACCCATTTTATGGTATTCTCGAACAATGATTAACTCAATGATTAGGCTTATAGAATATGACTGGTCAGAGAATCAGAGATTAAATCTATGATTAGCAATATCGGCCTTATTATTTACTGCAAAGCCTATAATATGACTGATTATGTGAATAAACATTTCACTTTATTTGTTTTTACAATTTTGGTCTTGTTTTTGCAGAATTATTGTTTACTGCAAAGCCTAAAAAAATAACTTATTATGAAGTCTTTATAAACAGTCTATCTAAAATTTGAATACAAAATAAAAGTAGAAAAATATTGATACAATAAAAATGTATCGATACAGTGTATTGCGGACGGTCGAATTGCAATATATCGATATGGCAATATTTTTTGAAGGCCCTATGCTGAGTGTTTTAAGAAGCAATTAAAGACACGCATCTTTTTTTTGACTGTTTATTAACATTAACTGTGTTTTTGTGGTAAGTGGAGAGCATTAATTTTAATGAAATTCTGCGTAATATCAGGACTCACTACCATTATTATCACTATTACATTTAATATATGTACATTGTATGATAATAAATGTGACTATTAACACAAGTAACAATTTTATGGATATACAATTACTGAGTTTAATACTAAGCGACGAGGATACTCTCATCTTTATCAAACAAATGATACAAATATGTAAATAGTAGGCAAATATATACAGAATATGTAACAAAAATAACAATTAAATACAATTAAAACTAAACTAAATGAGGGGGCCATTATAACTCATTAATTGTATATCCATAAAAATTGTACCTTGTGTTAATATGTTCAATTACAATCTGATTAAAATACAGAGATCTATATTTCATTTCGTTTTTTTATACTTTCGATGGCCTACACTACATGAAGATCTGACCGGCTGTAGCGATGTGCCACGTCAGAGGTCATACAAGCGGCTTTTGACCCTATGACGTCAGACATTTGATTAACCAATCAGCATTGATGTTACTAGTGGATTACCCACAGTTCTCTGCAAAACACGCCTAAAGCTCACCGTAACAGACCTTTTCATTGGCTAAATCCTCACACCATTCAGAACACGTCAATGATAACAACTCTTCCAGATCCTAGTGTAGTAAAGACAAGTAAAACGAAATTTTGAACTATAAAAAAGAAACGAAATAGGATCTGTGTTTTAATCAGATTGGTTCAATTACTAAATGCCTATCAAATAAATGTGACATACCTTGTAGAGGCCTTTGATAAAAAATCTATATAAGTAATTTCAAACTTCTTGAATAACTCCGACTGTTCTCCCATTTGTCTGAAGCAATCAAAACCTGTGAAAAAAAAATAACAGACAGACATAAAATTAACACATTTATATGGATGTACTACTTCTGAATTTTATTAACATGCTACGTTTCAATACACATACAGATATCGTTATTTGCATGTAAGTGTGTTAATTTTAGTATAATCTATTTCTATATGTCTTATAAGGATTAGACGGCCGTAGTGCCACTGCCCGGGCAAAATTTCCCTTATAGTTCACTGCATGGCGTATGCCCGTCTTCATTAGCCCAGTTTAGGAGCAGAACAGTAGGACGTTAAACCCCATTTCATTTCATTTCATTTATAAGGATTAGACAGACATATATGTAACATAATATGTTTGAAATAGAGAGAGAAAGAGAGAGAAATGGGGTTTAACGTCCATTCTACACAAACTAGGTGAGTTCGGGACTAACATGTGATTCAATTTTATTTCAATAATTCGCTTGTGCGTAGGGGTCTTTAGCAGTGTGAGGAAACTGGAGGACCCAGAGAAAACCCACGAGGTTGGACAGACGACCCTACTCCTTGTCACGTACAACCAGGGAATCGAAACCACGCCACTTGACTCAATGACAAACCTTATGATACATCGTGCACGCTCTACACTAACCATTCAGCCATCCTTTAGATATGATAGAATAGATTCTAAATTAAGAAAAATCAAGATTTTTGATTTTTTTTTCATCCAATCATGTTTTTGAAAATTGAACAATGGAGTTTTTAGGAATGTTGGGGAGTGCTCGTGTCTACATGTAGGTTTCCGCAAACTAGTCCGGGATCAGCCCTGTATGTTCATGTTTTGTTTTCAAGATAATAAAGTGGGTAAAATAAAGTAGGTACCCCTCCTCAACTACACTTGGATCTGCTCCTGAGTGTATTATGTTTATTTGCTAAATATTCTTCATTACATGTACTCAAATTTTACGTCTTTTCAAGGACAGCTGTCTAGTCCTTCGGATGATACGAAAAACCGAGGTTCCATGTAAACATTGGAATGCCCGTAAAAGATCCCTTGGCAGTTGGAATTTGATAAAAGAGTAGGCGATAGTGCCGCTGCCCGGGCAAAATTTCCCCCATAGCACACTGTATGGCGTATGCCCGTCTTCATTAGCCCAGTATAGGAGCAGAACAGTAGGACGTTAAACCCCATTTCATTTCATTTACGTCTTTTCAATATCTATGCACTTTGTAAATATGTGTAAATATTGTAACTATGTATCGTTGCTAGGAGGGACGTGTCGAAAACATTAAAACACCTGATTAATCTAATGGCTTTCCCTTGGGTCCTTCAGTTTCTTCGCACTGCTAAAGACCACTGTGGCAAGTGAATTATTGAAATAACATTGCATCATGTTAGTCCCAAAATGACCTTATTTGTGTTGACATTAAACCCCATAATTATTGGGCGTTTTTATGGATTTGACAAAATATAGACTCTAGACATCTTATTTGAAAGGACTGTTTATTGTTTGCAATGTTTGTTTACATGTATATTGAGCAGTTCAGATATATACATGTATATATGTGTGGCTTAAAGGAGCTGAATCACTTATACTTGGGACCTAGGCAAATCATTTATGTTCGGCGAAATTTGCCAGAAGTCTCAACGGAATGGCAGTCTCTAGAGTCTGGTTATTCCAGTCTACACCAATAGTATTTATTGGGCATGCTCTCCAGATAAGAATATGGCGTTACCGTTTGAAATATGGCGTTACCGTTTGAAATATGTCTATCCTCGTTCTTCGAGTCTCTTGTTAAAAATGGGGCTGAAACGCATTATGGTACACAATTCGTGTACCAGTGATAAAATGGTTTTTTTTTCTTAAATATTTGATATCAGAAGCCCATCTTTTCCTGGTAAGATCACAACATCAATGTTGATTTAAATTGATAAATAATTTGTGTTTTCAATGTCAAAAACTCTGGATGATATTGAGTTAGAGACTTAGCTACTTTAATAATCACTATGGGGATACTCGGTTGAACGTTCCGGAATTGAATTCGGTCAAATCCAACAATAGTGACAATTGAGTGAAAATGGGATTTTGGGCTAGAATGCATGCGATGACCAACCATGACAGCTAAAACATATTCATTAGGTTTAATTACGCCACGATTCTACTCACACCACGTTTTGGGACTGACAGAACTGTGACAGGACTTAATTCCGCGTTACTCGATTGCAATTCCGTCAATTCGTTGGAATGTTCTAGACTGACAATCGAGCACACCCTATAACTTTGGCAAGTATTATGCACTGTAGCTGTGGTTGTTTGTGTTGTATACGGGTTTGTTTATCTGTCGTTCAGGAGCCTGTTTCACGAAATTTTTACTAAGATAAAATCCAAATTTTAGTAATTTGATTGGACAATTTTAGATTGATTTTAGTGCTTAGCCAATCAAATTTAAGTATCTTCTAAAATTTGGATTTTAGCTTTTGTTACAATTTCTCTAGAAATTATTATAAGGGACATTTATAATTTTATATAAAATACATGGATTTTTATCTATTACTTACCGCGAAGTGGTGATCCAAACAAAACTTCAGTTCGGATCAGACGACTCTTCGGATAGGTTCGATTGATTTTCTCGTCCACAAAATAATAAAAAGTATCGTGATTCATGGCAAACTTCAGAGCACTATGAATATCATCTATATGTGATCCTAAACCATCGTAATGAATTCTACCACCGCTGTCACGCGTCGGAAAAAAATATGTCAGGAGAGAGTTTAGTGGTGCGCATCCTGAATTAGCAGAAATGGCCGGATCGCTCCTGGCAACACTTTTATCTTTTAAACAAAACTGACCAAATCGTGGATGACTCACGATTTTCTTTTCAACTTGATGGACCAATTCTAATCGTTCTTTCGTAAACATGTTCGGATCATCGTCACCTTTCGCTAAATAAATCAGATGCATCTTCCATCTGGGAACAGTCTGGACGTCTAAGAAACATCGCTTTTGCCGGGAAAGTTCCTCGTTTGGGCTATCCTCTTTGATACTTCGTTTATGACGCGTAGAGGCAGACTGCTTCGCGAGCGACAGCGCATCATATTTTATGTAGGCCTCGTGATTTGGTATACTGAATGCATCAATAGATTTGTCGATCACTGGTTGTTCAGGTAAACCGAACCAACTGTACCATCCTAAAAACAGACTCGTCCCGGACATAAAACATAGCACAAGTACTGAAACGAACACACATATACATTTACTTGGTCCTTTAAATTTACAAGTACAGCCACAAGGGCTTGGAGGGTTACTGTGTATCACCTCGTCTGTAAACATTGTGTTATCATCCAGAACTTCACTACTTTCACTTTCATTAGTGCTAACCAGCTGATAGCCATTATTGCTCCTTGAATTCCAAGGCCAACACGGCATTTTATGTACACTGAAAAAAACAAGAGTAAAGGAATATATAATCAATTAATGAGCTGATACTGAATGGTCGTGAATACATGTAGTGTAAAATTATCTTTAATAGATACAATAGAATCAGGAAGATTAAATTCATAAATCAAACTTTTCCTCTCCTTAAATTGACGTGTTGACAGCGGAGATGATTGATGTAAATCTGATTGATTTCTGTATCTCATCATCGCCTTATATAATTATAACATAAATTATTAAACTATGTTAATTATACTATCTTAGCCGGGTGTAAACAGCTCTTTATATTATAGCATGGTTGGTATAGAAAACTAGGTTAACTCTCTCTCTCTCTCTCGTAAGATAACTGAAACTAGAAGGGTAATTAACTGATGTTAGACCTTGCTCTCCTCCTCTTCAACTCTCTTACTTTCTCTCTCTCCCTAGACAGTTAACTTAAACTAGAAGGATAATTAACTCATGTTAGACTTCTTTCTACTCCTCTCTCTCTCTCTCTCTCTCTCTCTTCCTAGAAAGTTAACTGAAACTAGAAGGGTAATTAACTGATGTTAGACCTTGCTCTCCTCCTCTTCCTCTCTCTTACTTTCTCTCTCTCCCTCTCTCTTACTGTCTCTCTCTCCCTAGACAGTTAACTTAAACTAGAAGGATAATTAACTCATGTTAGACTTCTTTCTACTCCTCCTCCTATCTCTCTCTCTTCCTAGAAAGTTAACTTAAACTAGAAGGATAATTAACTCATGTTAGACTTCTTTCTACTCCTCCTCCTATCTCTCTCTCTCTCTCTCTCCCTAGAAAGTTAACTTAAACTAGAAGGATAATTAACTCATGTTAGACTTCTTTCTACTCCTCCTCCTATCTCTCTCTCTTCCTAGAAAGTTAACTTAAACTAGAAGGATAATTAACTCATGTTAGACTTCTTTCTACTCCTCCTCCTATCTCTCTCTCTTCCTAGAAAGTTAACTTAAACTAGAAGGATAATTAACTCATGTTTGACCTCCCTCTCCTCCTCCTCCCCTCTCTCTCCCTTACTTTCTTTCTTTCCCTAGAAAATTAACTGAAACTAGAAGGGTAATTAATGCTTTACCCTTGGATGTGTATCTATTCACCTCTATGGTTGAACCCCATATTATTTCCTTATATTTTAGCACAGGTTAGTGTAAAAAAACTAGAAGCCCATAGTTAGCCTTTCCTTATATTATAGCGAGAGTGAGAAATGGCGTTTAATTTAACGTCCACTTGACACAAACTAGGTCATTTCGGGACTAAGATATGGTTTAATTTTATTTATATAATTTGCTTGCGCGTAGCGGTCTTTTAGCAGTGGGAGGAAACCGGAGGACCTGGGGAAAACTCACGAGGTTGGACAGGCGACCCTACTCCTTGTCACGTACAACCGGGGATTCGAAACCACGCCAGTCGACTCAATGACAGACTTTATGATACAGCGCACGCACGCTAACCATTCAGCCATTCACCCCCCCCCCCTTATATTATAGCACGGATTGGTGTAGAAATCATTAACTGGTGTTAAACCTCATACATATATCATTTCCTTTATATTATAGCAAACATTAACTGGTGTTAAAACTAAAATCATTTCCTGATATTATAGCACAGGTTAATGTAGCAAACATAACCTGGTGTTAAACCTAAAACCATTTCCTTATATTATAGCACGAGTGATGCAGAAATCATTTCCTGACATTACAGCATATAGTTGGTGTCAAAAACATTACCTGATGTTAAACCCCATATCCTTTCTTTACGTAATATAGCACGGATAATGTCGAAAACTAGGACCTTAACTGATGTGAAACATGATTATTATAATTGTACCTACTATAAGCTAACCTGGTGTGTACCTATTGTACCTGTATAAAAAGATTTTCCATGACACACTCAATAACAATGTCAGTAAACATTACAGAAACTCCCATTTAAAAAAATAGTAAATGCAATTAAGGTACGATTTTATGGTTACACAGTGATTATTCATTACACAGTCAATAACAATGTCAGTGAATGTTAAAGTGACTTAAATTTAAAAAGTACATGTAGTAAACACAATTAAGGTACCATTTTTATGGATACACAATTACTATATTTATTACAATGTCACTCAGTAAACATTAAAGGCTCAATACCACTCTTGTTGTAACTGAATAATATGTCCTAATCTTTATTCTGGTCAACAAATTGTACTATTTTACAATATTCCAATTAATTGATGATACAAATTTCATCTTAACACACCTAAATTAAAAAATCGGAAAAATTCAACTAAATGATTTGAAAAGCCTGACGTAAAGCGTTTCAAATGTGACTTGGATTTAAATATATTTTTGAACCCTTTGGACAAGTAAAATAGGATTTAATGGATAATTTACACAACAGGTAGGACACTAACACATCTAGTCCTTAGAATAAGGCTATTATTTATTTTCTGGAGCTGTCAAGCCAGCAAGAGTGTTATTGTCCCTTTAAAGTGACTCTCATTTTCAAAAAATTAAAATAATAAACAACCACAATATTTACAGCTGAGAAAAAACCACAATATTTACAGCTGAGAAACAACCACAATATTTACAGCTGAGAAACAACCACAATGTTTACAAATTTTTTTTTTTTTTTTTAAACAATATTTTATTCAGAAAATTTTGGATTGGGGAACAGGCTTAGCCTATGGACCCCCTCTCCATAGTATACAAATACAAACATTAAAATACAAAATAATAGTAATAAATATACAAGATAATTGAAATTTGATGGCTATTTACATTATATACAAATTTCACAGCCACAACAATGTTTAAATTCATAATTCATGACTTTAAAACCTCTTGGAGATGTCGAGAAAATGATGAACTGCATTAAATATCTGTGTTGCCTTATAGCTATCTTTTACGCCGAATAATAGGGAGTTAATATTGTGATGTTCTGGTTCTAATTGAAAAATAGTTTGAGAACGGGCATCTGAATGTAAGGAGCAAACTAACAGAAAGTGTTCAGAGTCTTCAAAAAAGTGACCGCAATCGCATGTAGGAATGTCCGAAATATGCCTTAGAAATTTATGTCCGTTTAAATCACTGCAAGAAAGTCGAAGTCGAGAATGGAGAATTTGATTCTTCCTGCAACCAATATAGTAGACAGATGGAACAGAGTTGTCTATAGCTCGTAATTTTGATTTAAAAGAAGAAATGGTAAGTGCGTTTTTGGTAGCATTATCAAGGTTATTCCATTCTTTAATAGTGGATGGTATGAAAGTAGAAGAGAAGAGAGTTGTTCGGCAAAAATAATCTGGTAAATTGTTTTGGTTTCGTAGATTGTATGAATATGATTGATTGCAAGGAATAAGTTTAAATAAATAGTCGGGAGTAAAATGATTTAAAATTTTATACATTAATATTAGTTTGTGTCGCCTTCGTCGTTCTTGCAGTGATATAAACCCGGTCTCCTGATATATTAACTTATGACTGGTACCCTTTACAGCACCGCATATAGTCCTGAGTGCATCTAATTGTAAATATTCTAGATTGTTAGTCAGTTCATTAGTGCTCCCGTCCCATATTATGTCACATAATAATAATAAATAATAAACAGCTGAGTAATAACAATATTTACAAATAATAAACATCTCAGTAATGACAATATTGTAAAATAAATAGATGTATAGACATACATGTAAAGATACGTAAACCGTAACATTACTGTCATTCGAACAGTCCATAATGATTGACGATTGAGATTCTTTCATAAGTAACATTATAATGAATTAACACAGTTGTAATGAATATAAGGGGGTTGGGTGGCCGAATGGTTAGCGTCTGCGAGTTATATCGTAAGGTCTGTCATTGAGTCAACTGGCGTGGTTCAGGGCTGGGGTAATGGTAATGGGTAATGGTAATGGAATGTAATCATTACATTTTTTAAGTAATGGCCATGTAATGAGTAATGGAAGATTTCAAAAGTAATGAGTAATTGAAATGTAATTAATTACATTATAAAAATCATGTAATGGTCAATTACATTTCAATTACTTTTAAATTACATTTTATGGTATATATAAGTATTTCCAATATAACTAGCCTCAAATTTTATAGCACCAAAGAAGTAAATTATGTGTATCTGACACCAAACCGTGGTTTCGATTCGTGCAAGTGAATTAAGGAAAAAAAAAAATTGAACCATATGTTAGTCCCGAAATGACCTAGTTTATGTCAAGTGGATATCTCGCTCTCTCTCTCTCTCTCCATTCTTTGTTGTTAAACATGATTGTAAAAATGTATGAACCCTTCTAATCTTATTGCCTAATTGATTAAAGATACATTATGGGGGTTTAGATAAAGAGCTAGTAGTTCTGACTATGATAGTTAAAAAATAGATAATGTAAAGGGAATATGCTGAAAATTTCAGTCAAATTGCTCCACTCTCAACCGAGATATTAAAGATTGAATTTTAGGCCTGGTCTCGATCATCATTACTAAAGTCAGTACGATAAAAAACATAGTCTCGATTATCCATTTTTGGATTTAATCATCAGTGAGCATTCAGCTGCAGACCGGATTCATATCCGTGAAAATCTGACACATAAGATGGCATCGAGAGTTGATTAAGATTTTTTCATGTTAAACATACATTATGCAAGAGCTAAATCTGCCTATTGTAGGTCTTTCTTTAGGCCTGAAATGTTATATAAACTATTAATTAGACATTAATTAACGTATCCAGACCATAATCAACTCTCGATGTCAACGCTAGCCTGCGAAAATTGTTGGATTATGATCCGATTTGCTGCATAACTTTCCTTCTCGATTTAACGATTAAATGGATAATCGAGACTATGATTTTTGTCGTACCGACTTTAGTAACGATGACCGAGGCTATGCGGAACTTTCGATCGCTTATTTCTCGGTTCATAGTGGATCAATTTGACTGAAATTTTCAGCAAATAATTGCCTTTACATTATCTAATTTTTAACTATTATAGTGCGAACTGCCAAC